TGGGAGCTGAGAACCTCCTTGTAAGTGGACAAGCTGTCAGCCATGTACAGTGAGATACTCCTGTGAATATGATTCTGGTCTGATATAGAATGTATGTTTTTGGAACAATCACCTCTGTGTTTAATCATTCTTCATAAGACATTTTTTCCATAAAAAAACATTAAGTCATTTGTTGTGAAGATGCCACATTTGTACTCAGGGGCAAATTACTATGTGGGATTGGTTTATCACCCAAGAGGTGTCAGGAAAACATTTCACACTAGGCAGTGTCCTCATGTAAATTTGGTCCTTTGTGATAATTTATTATGATGGAATTCTAAAACATCACTGTCTGATCCAAGCTTCTGGGCACAAAAAGCAGAACCCTGTGCTTCAAAGACAACATGTATTCAAATACAAAACAGGCTATTAGATTTTTGTTTTCTGTAGCAGTTACATCTGCTACAGATAAACAACTTCTTTTCCCAGCAAAGGTTATAATCATAACCAGAGATTATAATATTGAAATACATTAAGCATAAAACCTGGTTTTGCTTTCTCTTCCTTCAGGCCAAGGTTACAAAGAACTGCAAGAACAATTTTGCTTTCGAAATTAGTTACAGCCAAAATCGCTATTGCTTCATTATTGGTGGATAGGTTTTATGTATTGTGTTCAAGTATTTTGATATTTAAATGATGTTAGCTCTGATATCTACTGTCTAGGAGCACTGAAAACCTGACTTGGCCTTTGGGTGGTCCACTGACTGTATCAGAGGTGGAAGACTCTAATTCCCACTACCTAAGTTAGTGCCTAAATGTCAGCTGCACATATTTGAAAATAAAGTAGATGCATCTGAGATGAAAAATTGATCATAAAATGATTATGTATGTTTTAATATGCAGAACAATCTTCAGTGTATGCTTGTCCATCAAAACCCATTGATATCCAATTAACAATATGAATAGAAAGTACAGCTAATAAGATACCTGCAGGAACAATATTATCAATGGGCTATGTCTCTGTACACTTTAATGAACCCTTAGCAGTCAAGGATTAGTATCACAGTATCAAACTGCTTTTGACATACCCTCTATGTGATGGGAAGCCTGGAATAAAACTCTTAATATTTGACACCAGCAGGTTTTTCTTCTACTGCAGCCCTCTTTCCTCTCTCAGGACGAATCATGAGCTGAACCTCTAGAGTGAAACTGCATAACAATTTGGTAGGAAGTCCAGAAACTATTTGCAGACAAAAAGCATGTGAAACGTTGCTATCGGACAAATTTCAGTAAATAAAGTGCAGTGTGACGCTGATATTCCCTATGTTATGGCAGATATAGTTGGTGTGGCTAAGGCAATAAATATTTGCACAGATCAAGTTCTTAGCTATCAACAATTTTGACTCCCTCGTCAAAATATGGACAGCATTGTTAACCTTCAAAGGAATGCTTTGATAATTGATGAAAGAGATTACAGCAATAATGTTCATAGGTAATGAAGTGAACCAAGAGCAAATGTTGATATTTGAATAAGCATACATATATATATATATACACACACTGTGAGAGAGAGAAAGATAGGGATAGCATTTGGAATGTTTTATAGCTTCTTATCTCTGAAGTGGCTGTGTTTCACAAGTTAGAGAAGTGACTTAAGCAAGAATAGGATGATTGACTGGAAATATTAAGAACCAGGTTCATAGTTTGTTACTTGGTTTGGAAACACTGACAAAAATGCAGTGACAGTGTTAGATACGGGCTCGAATTATCACAGAACTATCCAGAGACCAAGATGTATTCCATTCACCTAATTACATTGATCTATCATTTGTTTGGAAACAAAAAAATTAGCTTGATGGCTGAAGGCTGGATCTATGTTTTTTGAGAGTCTGGAACAGCAACTACTGTAACTATCTATTTGTGATGAATAAATTTCATTCTGCATTTGGACACTGGGAATTACCAGACTGGCCTGGGTATTGGCAGCTTTGAGGAGGATCCAAGGGTCAAATTTGGTTCAGACTAGACTCAGTCCAGAGGGAAATTTTGATGCTTTTATTGCTAGGAGCATTTCACTTTCTCTCCATTTAAGTGTTCTTTAGAAGAATTATTTCTTTATCTCTCCCTTGAGTTTTAGAAATACGGGCTTTGAACTGAAACAGTGTCAGGTCACAGCTCCCAGTTCCTGATGATTATGTTTGCACATCAATCTCCCAGTTTATAAACAACGTTGGGGAGGCTTGATGCTGTCTATACTTGCTTTGGTTTTAGGCAGAAAAAATTGGGAGGTTAAAAAATTTGTTATTGTAGGTCATGGTCCATGTACCTATTTTAGACTGGGGTACTCTTACTTTGAGATTCTCTGAGTTTTTTACTTCACTAATAGCTGCTAAATTGCATTTTTGGACAGTGGAACTTGGGATTCTGGCTCCAAAATTTGGCGAGGTCCAGCTTTTATAGCCATCTAGTGTTTCCCCTCTGGCCAGGAAGCATTTCCTGTATTGGTGGAGTCTGATTTAATTAGGGGGAGGGGAGATAAAAACCTTGCATATTCCCCCTAATCCTATCACACATTAAATCATCTCATTCATACTGACTCCACCAATGCTGCTTTCCCCATTTCCTGAGTTACTTAGCAACAACCATCCCTCCCTTTTCCACTCCCCCATCCGTCCTTTCATTTTTTTTTTCCCTTTGCAATCACGATTTCCAGGCTGTTTAGAAAAATGAGGATGCTCAGCAGCATAGGGCAAGCTTTTCCTTCCAACCTCCCTTTTTGTGCCTGCCAAATCCTTCTCGCCTCCAAAATGAAAATCCAGGCTGCCTGCGTATGTGTAATCAAAGGTTAAAAAGCACCCCGGCTGACACCACGCATGTGTTAATCTGTGCTGCAGCAGAGTGCATCATTTCCACTTTGACCTCAGAGTTAATCTGCATTCAGGCAGAAGCTCCACTGCTTTATTCTTTCTTTTCTATTTTTTTTCCTCTCATTTACTGTTTCCATTGCTTTATCAGATTTTATTGCATGTGTATGAGTGGGTCTATAAATGTGTGCATGTCTATGTATTTCTTCTTTCCTTGACTGTTTTTATCCTGTGTCTGTGTTGGTTTGGTTTTTTTTTTTTTTCTTTTCTCCCAATTATGTTATTCCCCTAGATTTGGAAGCTGCTGCCTGCTGCCTGAGCTGACGTTTTCTGATTATATCTGCAAAGGGCTTGTGCAGATCTAATTTCTGTCCCCCTGCATATTAATTCCCGCAGCTGGGCGCAATGTATCATCCCACTGACGGGACCTGGTAGGGAGGGGGGGAGAACCACTACCAAAAAAAATTAAAGAAGGGGACGGATCCATCTGCAACCAAGAGGAAAGGGGAAAAAACCTGGGGGGTGGGGGGGGAAGAAAAAGAGATGATTCCTCCAAATCCAACAAGCCTGGGGAGCACTGCATTCTTGAATCCTGCATTTTCTCTCAAAATGATGGTGTGGGCACTTCTGTTCCTCTCTCTCATCCAGTGGTAAGATGTGCTTTCTGATTCTGTTGGGGGGGGGGGGGGGGGGGGGGCGGGAAAAAAAGAATCTGTTTGCAAATTTGCAGAGCTGTGGTGAGAATGCCGAAGGTTTGGGTAGCGGCATTACATTCATCTATCTCCTAGGAGCTGAGATCTTACAATGTTTTATTTCTCTTACAATTGTTGTCGCTCTGAAACGGACAGGGAGGATAAGCAGCGGGTGTGTTTGATGGTGGTACATGCCGGGTGTTTCACAGAATCTGATGCCATGTTACTGAAGCCTTTTATCTCTGAATTATTGTTTGCTACAGTGCACGGAGTTATAACACAGCTGTGTTTTGTGGGCAGAATACCGGTGTGTTCACGCTTGTTTCCACCTAAGCAGCCACATCATGGCTGTGCCCGGGCTGCGGGCTGGGCAGCGCCGTACGGTTCTTCCAGCCGTAAGGAGCCAGTGCAGGATTTCGGACCAAGGACAGAGATGCAGCTCCCGGCAGGAGCCTCTCGAGGCAGGCGGCAAGGCGCTGCCTGGTCCCTGAGATGCTTCAGTGCTGATGGAACAGGCGATGGGATGCAACGGTGTCCGCTGACCGTAGGAGAGGAATGTTTACAGCAGCGCTCAGCCTCCACACTGACCCATGTGCTGTGTGAAGACAACCTGGGCATGCTGCATATGTGTGGTGTGTACAGAGATGTAAGGAGGCAAAAATCTTAGCAGCAGAGGAGGAAGGAGTTTCTGTGTGGATGAGTAGAAAGTGGAGGGGGGGAGCGAGTATTGCTGCAGTGCCTAGATTTACACTTGAACGAGACATTCTTGCAAGAATTTGTGGACTGTGCATTTAACAGGTTAGATGAGCAAGTAGCACTGCATTGCAAAGTACCTGCCTTCCAAGTGGTAATAGGCTTTTCCTCCCAGCTGCATAAGCCCTGTTGTCATTGAGACATTAGAGAAGTTAGTGCCCACTCTCTTTTCTGCTATTAATGTTGTATTCACACAGGCCCCTCATTCAAATCTACCTTCTTTCCTCTCCCCTCCTTTTACCTGGACACTACCATACTAAAACCGGGGTTCTTTCTATTTGATTTTTGGTTTGTTTAAGAAAAATCAGACTTTGTAGCTGCAGTGGTAGGATTTTTGTTCTAAGCAAAAGGCCAAAATTATTGGCCAGGGAAATTAAGATTTGGTGGGTTTTAGAGTAACTTTCTTCACACAAAAAGGACTTTGGGAAGAATTCCTGTGAAAAGAAACTTAAAATGGTTGAAAATGGAGTAGAAAGTGAAACAAAACTTGGTGAGCCTACCATGAGGGATAGATTGTTATTGTGAGTAAGACAGATGTAAGATACCTCTGATTGTTACAGGATCATTTATGATTCCTGTGTGAATACAGCAGTGGGAAATGAGCTTTTACAGGATTTCATACACACATTATTTTGACGTAAAACTTCCACTAAAATAACCCCAGATATTTATTTTAACACACTCCCTTCTTTTCACTCATCTTCAGAATAGCATAGCCTGAGAAGAATTTTGCCAAAATTTTTTTGAAAGCTTTAAGAGAAACTCTTCATAATACAAATTAGTTTTATCTCAGCAAAAGGTTCTGTTTTCTGTTCATAGCCATCTAATAGCCAAGATGGTTTCCTCTGACAGCTTCCTGACCTCATAACTTTAAAGAGTAAATAATAGACAGAGAAACAATATTAAAAAGTAAAGGGGAAAATTACCCTTAGTGCTTTACAAAAATATTTCAAATGAGTCAACATGTAAATATGATTTTAATTCTAATAATCAGGACACTTTTCTCCTTCTGTTGTGGAAAAAACCTTACTAGTAGTTTTGGAAACTCATGGACCAAGACAGAGTTACAAAAGTTGAACTTCTATACTGTTTGTTTATAGTCAGGATAAAAGTTTGCTTTGTTAAAAACTCATCAAACACTTCAGAAGGAAGGGAATATCACTGGATTAGCTGTCACTTGTCTTGGACACTGAAATTCTTAAAGGCCAGTGCAACTGAACACTAACGTACGTGCTCCATGTTACACATGTGAGTAAATGTGTTAACATCAATCCAAATACACACAAAAGTTTAACTGTTTGAAGAATCTGATCAAAGTAATTGAAGACAAAAATTGATTACTGATATTGCGCAGAAATATTTCCCCTATTGATATAAAAAGTTACTACATAGAGAAATTAATTCTTGCACAGTTGTTGAAATTTAGAAGATTAGAGAAAGAAGAGGAAAGTAAAGGCATCATTTGGGCATTAATGGAAATAGCTAAAATTCTGGCATTGACTTCATCAAATAAAGATTTGAATTAATTCAGAACAAATGTCATATTACAGGTCTGCAGTATTTTACCTTCACAATAAATTTATGTATTAGTTTTATGACATGCACAGAGTGCATCCTTACAATTGTGCACACTAAAGTTTTAGGAAATGCTTTCTTCCAATATGTTTCTTGACGTTCATAACTGTACTACAAACTTCTTGTGTAAAGTTCCCCCATCATCTTCTCCCTCAGACTAGTGTAACAGCATTGTGTAGTCCATCAGAGTGACTGAAGCTGCTTCAGTGAAAATGAGTCAAACCAAACTCCAAATTTCTGAAAATTGTGGATTAAAATCTTGGGGTTTAGAAACATTTTCAAAATGTAAATAAAATAGTTTAATATTTGCACACATAAATATGGGGTTTATTGGGTTATTTGATTACACTTACTGAACATACAATAGGTAATTAACACATTACACGTAATAGAGCTCACTCACCAGCAAAGTTTCAAATAGATTTAATGCTATGCTCTGCACACTATTTACAAATAGGTGTTGCTATTTTTGCATAGTCCCCAGCTTAAACAAATTGTCAGCAAAAATCACATAATACAGCTCAAAGTAAAGTCCAGATGTGAAATGTTGGACACTAGCTACTTTTATTTTTTCACTTGTTAGTGCCCAAGTAGTGTCATGGCAATGTTTCTATGCTGCAGCTAGATAACTAAAACCAAAAACTGCCAAGTTTGTGAAAAAGCATAAATAAAGCAATCATTATAGCACCAAAATAGTTTGGTGCATATGTTAATACATGCATTCTTACTAGTAAATTGCTGAACACGGGAGTAAATAAAATAGTTTTATTCTTGTAAAGCACTAGCAGTGCCAGCTGGGTTCTTGCACTGTGTGATAAGTGACCTAATAACAATGACTACAAGGGGCATGAACATCCCTGAGCTGAAAAGTCATTTCAAGTTACTGTAAAGGTTGCTAACATCAGTTTGGTGTTAATCCTGCAGCTCTAGCTATTCGTACAATAGCTTCCAATACTTTCACACAGTATATAGCACTCATATTAAGTCAAAGGTCCCACTGAAGTCACTTGAAACATTACTGGAATAAGAAGTTGCTCAGCAAGAGACAATTTCTTGACTAACATGGACTCATCCCTTTTAGAGAAGTGTCATGACAGAAGATGTGAATCTAGGTGCTGACTTTGTGACTAGTGATGACTTTGTCCTTGTCTATGATAGTATGAAATGGAATATTTACTGCTGACTGGCCTACATGCTACAGTGCTTGTTTCAGCAGAGATGAGGCTGTACACACACAGGACCTGCACTCTCCTTGAACATTTCAGGGGGAGTACTGAGGGTGAGACTGCCTTTGAGTTTTTCATAGCCATGCTGCTTTCCTGACTGCTCTCAGCTGTAATACTGGGATACAAACTTGGAACAACTATTATTGTAAAAAAAAGGCTACCAAAACCACTGATCTAAAGTAGATTTGAACAATTAAGTAAAACTCTCACTATCTCATTATTAACAAGTTGATGGGGCAAAAAGATTACAGACATATTTTTCCCCTACTTTCAATTTTATAATGATTTGGAGATGTGGATTAAGCCCTTTAACTAACTTCTGCTTTAGTCATTATAGCACCTAACCATAACCTGCATGCCAAAGTTAATGTATTCCAAAATACTCTAATGGCTATGCAAAATGATGCTGGAGAGTCTTTCAGAAAGTTTGAGCACTTGAAAATCTGAGAAGTGAAACTTGTTAATAAAAACCTATAGAAACTAAGTACATTAAAAAGAGCTGAGGAGATTAGTTGACTCTCTTAATTTAGTATTTTCCATATGATTCATACTATGTCTTCTTCATGGCCATCCAAATCACGCTTTTGGGTCTCAAGTTTAAACTATTCCTGATTAGTGCTGATCTGGAAAATATACCTTGTTGATTTGGATTGTGGTCACATTTTTTTCTTCTTTATGCAACATTTGCTCTGTTGGCATACGTCAAGAAATTCTGTAAGAGTTGCACAAAAATATAAAAGCAAAGAAGACTCTGATAGGAGTAAAGAGATGAAGGGAAAAGCAGCAAGTGTCTCATCAAAGGAAACTCATTCCATGTCTCAGTCCCAGTACAATTGAATTCTTATATACTTGAGTAATGACCACCACTTTCTCCAACAAAGAACTGAACTGTGAATTGAAAGCATGAATTATTAAAGGATTTGATAAAGCGTTAGTCACAGGTGAGCAATAACAGATGCACATGCTTATAGGAAGGTTGATATTTTCATATTCTGCCTCCTATGCCTGCTTAGAGTATATCTGTACTGATCAGGACAGTACCTTGTAGAGATAAAGCCAGGCAAGCTCCAGAGCAGAGGCAGTTCCAAGGTCCACACCTCCAAGCAGCCCCGTCATGCAACATGGAGAGGCACCAGCTCATCTGAAGCTAGCTCAGTGCTCTGTAGCCTTTCCCTTGTTATGTTGAGCCACTCTAGCTAGAAAAGTTCTATATATTCTTAGATATAAAGATTCTATTAGGGTGATTACTTGATTTTTTTTTTAAACATACAGGAGAATAACTGGAGTGTACTGTGGTTCTCTGCTTCCTTGGCACAGTCTGAACTGCTGCTTTGCAAGCTATTGTACGTACAGCCAGCCCCACTCACAGCCTTATACAGAAGGAGGTAGATCATGTGAGAATGG